TCATCAGTCTACAGATGGTTGTAAACTGTCGTAGTTACCATGAGCATATTCCAGTTATACTCGGAAGGATTGCTGATTCTTCGTTCACTAGCATCACGTTTAGGTGTAAAATGGCATACGCCAATATGGCCACAACTTACCCCATTCAGACCTCCACCGACTACCCAACGCGTAATCGTATAACCACATGGTGGTTCTGTGTGTTCGACTCTTTTCGATTCGTACAGAACCTCCAAGTGTTTCCACTCAGTGATTTCGGCGCCTCTGCGATTAACCTATTACCTATTCCATATGATGTCAGATAGTCAAATGACTAGGTCATATTACTTGCCAGAAACACTGCTGAATTATCTACAGTCATTGACTTCGATCAGGTAGAATTTCTCACTGATGGCTACTGAGAGTCGATCAAGCTGTGAAAACTAGTAAAACAGACGTCACTGTCACTGTCACTGTTCTCCAACTAAACCACGATAGGCAACGACGGGAACTGACAACATTTGTGAATCAACTCCCCACAATATGCAGATGACATTTGTGTAGGCATGAAGGGGAAGAAAGGCTAGCCTCCGTTCACATGACTTACATGTTTCCCAGAACATCGGAAACGCTTAAGATAGTGAACCGAATAGGTAGGTAACCAACACAATCAGTATGATAGATACGCGGTGGGATTGAGTTCCTAGAAGGTGGACGACTACAACTACTGTAAGGTGGTGACATGATGAGAAGCAGGGAAATGGTCTGTGAACAGTGAGGAAGTGCAACATGGTGATTAGTTATCAAGACTTGCAGCCAATTCTCGACTGAATCTGTTGGGTACACATGCGGTGAGAATATCACAATGCTGGAGAATTGACTCATTCCGGTAATTACTGTTCTATGGTAGTGGGTGTTGCTGATAAGAATGGATATAAGTTGTGCATGTTGAGAGGGTGACAGAAATCATAGGGAATTACCAGCAATGGGTAAGGATTCCGTCAAGAGAAAAGTATGAGACGAGACAGGCGTATGAGGAGGAAATCAAGAAAGAAGCAGAAGAGGAAGTCTGCCAACCAGTTTCCTTTCCCTGACACATGGCCGATTGTGAAGTTGTACTCTTGCAGTCATAACACCCAACGTGATAATTTTCCTCTGCGGTCTCTCGCTGTCTTAAGCCACTGTAGAAGTTTGTGGTCAGTTTCAGACACCAGCTCCACGACCGACTCGAAGTCCCTGAGAACATTTTTAATGTCTCCATCCTCGTACTCTACAGGCCACAGGATCTTCATCACGTCCAGAAGCAGCTACACCAAATGAAAGCAACATAAGAGAGATATGTAGGAATGTAGGTCACTGTTGTCAATCAGTGGGACAGTAGTCGTTAAATATGGTACACCTTGGATTAAAATCGCCATATGCAAAATATGCTGGAATTCCTCTTCTGCTTCTTTCTTGATTTCCTCTTCCTACTCCTGTCTTGTCTCTTGCGTTTCTCTTGGCGGAATCCATATCCTTTGCTGGTAATTCCCTATGATTTCTGTCACCCTCTCAACATATACTACTTATATCCATTCTTATCAACAACGCCCATGTAAGTGAACAAGTACTCACTGAACACGGCTGTTGTTGTCAGCGTTTAGATGAGTTTTGGAGCAAGAAGTATTCAGCACAGAGTGTTTTCAAATGCATAGAATACTGACAAAGATTGAACGGAATACCACCACCATACTTGAGTTCTAGGAAGGACACCGAAATGGTTTGTGATATGAACTAATCTAGCACCTTCCAAAATGCTCAGAAATGTCTTGCATATCATCTGGTGTGTATGCACTCAGTTGGTCTGATTGCCTGACATACTCATGGATGCATGATGGAAGGGAGTTGATCAGTTTAGTTTCTACACGATGCAGTTTGTTCAATGCACCGATGTGTTCTGAAGCTTGAAGTATCTGCATCTCTGATATGCTCATGTCTAGGTGGATTCATACGTTGTCAGGACTCGATCTAGAACAATAGGCAGTGTCTTCATGAGGATGTCTCTGTAAGATAATCCTATCTTATGCTATGGACCAGCTGACTTCGGTCGAGTTATATACGTTCAGTGAATCACTGTGTGTGACTCTGTTCTAAAGACAACAAGCTTTCCCTGTTGTTATTTCTACGTTAGATTCACTTTGTGTCTCATCTTGAAGAAGGTTCAGGTGAACATTTCTTCATTCTTCCATTCTGTATATAGACTTACAAAGCTGCTGGAAACACCAGCTCCAGCCCCACAATTTACATTGTACTCATCAGTATGCTTGTCAACTAACCGGAACATTTTCTCAGTTCACATTCAACTCTCACGATGAAATGCCAAGTTGTATTAGATTACTTGTATATTAATGGGATATTAGATGGTTAGAGTGATTCCTTGCATGTTGAGTAATCGGTCAGCTTTGAGGAAATGATGTCAATGAGATGCTGGTTTCACAGATGCACATCTTATGAGGAGTGACATACAGTTGCAGAACGACTATCAACTCTCTTCCTTCTTCCAGTGTTGCTCCAATCGACCTCGAAGTAATCAATTCTCTATAAGTAGTAGTTAATATTTTGTCGGAAAACTCATTTTATCACCGCCCAGCAACTGTATATGCATATACACACACCATCTGGCTCTCGTGGTCAGTATTCCCGGCCACACCCAGACTGGTTATCCTTTTCAAACAGAGACATTATCGTTGAATTATAGGTGAGCAAATTGATGGTTAACAGCCTAACTGGAGTCAATCTCAGCTTCGTATTATGTGTGTGTCCAGCAGAATCCGTCCCATCCACCCACACCCACTCGACATTATCATCAACCATGGTGAAATAGATAACGGGATAATATTGGATAGTATTGCAGAAGTGGAATTATGATTAGAGATCCATGCACCGTATGATTATACCTTCCTCGCTTCCCCTTCTATCTATCTCTCTTTCGCACACACACACACATGCATATATATATTTATATATATACTGCCTTCCCCTTTTCTAACTGAAGTGATTGATCTCAGTAACTATGATTATTATTTCATGATATGCATGTTATATCAAGTTTTGTTGCCGAGGTTATTGAGATAAGACGGTGAAACAGAGAAATAGGGCAGTTGAAATTGCTGGTTGTTTACTGAGTAACTATCGGGAGACATAAACACATTTCTGATGAATTCACTCCATGATAAGTGGAGTGGGGGTGGGGAGGCGAGGCGAGGCGAGAAACTCATCGTATGAGGTAAACAGAGCAAACTAATCTCTCCTACATGCAGTGCGATCACATGGACTTGTGTGGTTTGTTCTACACTGAGGAACCTCAACTGCTTTGGTTGATGAGTTACTTCTCGCATCATGTTGACCTTGTTCTATTGCCTACTGGTTGGTATGGCTGCTTTGTCATTGTGATACCAGCTGAATGAGGATAGATAAGACAGGCCTTGTGATCACATACTTCACTTCAAGGATGCACGTATGATTTGCCTACTTATTCTGTCTGTCCACGTTTCTGTAATGGATAGTCGAAGAAACAGGAGGTTGTGGTTCGACGAGTACCACCACTAACCAACTAACTCGGAATGTAACCAGTATCAAAGTGTAGCTGATTGTCTTTGGGATCAGCGACCACCGGCAATAACGCATCATGTACGGTCAGAGCAGATTACATCCCAATGTCACCTCACCTTATTGTAGGCTACAACTATGAAACAGTTGATTTGTCATCAAGATTCTTCTTCAGGAAGAAGTTCTTCGGAGATATCACAAGCTGGATCAAAGGAGAAGAGAGGAATTCACGTGGTGACTGCACCTGACTAACCCCCATTGACTGGTGAGTAACTGAGGCATCTGCGCATGACAGGTGACTGTGTCAGCTGCTTGGTGAGACCACCGATTCGATACCAAATGTCAACACAGGGGATTGATTGGATGGCTGAACTGTGTCTCTCAGTCTGGCTGCAACACTTAGGAAGGAATAAGTCAACCGATAGGATGGATCACTCAGAAACTACATTTCAAAGCATTTTGTGATTGTCTGGGAAGGTGGTGTGAACTTGACTGGACAGTTGAGCATTTACATTCAACTAGTCTGTTTCACTACTTCTCCATAGCAAATCGGAGTGTTGAGTTTTACTGGAGTATATTCGCAGTAGATTGTATGGAGTGTTGTTTGAGCAACAGTTCCGATTGGCTGACGTTCCAGTGTCATATCACCACCACCACCACAATCAATCAATCATGAAACACATGCTACTTGTGGATCAGGAGGTAGAATACACACTGACAAAACTTCGATGTTCGATATAGTCGTTTCTTCCACATTTCCATTCTAGACAGTTGTTAAACATCAACTAAAGTGTGTGCTGTAATGACGAGGCTGACAGGTCACAAACATGGTCGACGACTTTTAGTCAGTACTTAAAACTAGGCAAGATGATATTGTTTACTATGCAGTGACAAGTCAGTTCCTCTCATGCAGTTCCAATGTGACTAGCTTATTGATCACGACCGTAAGTGCAGCAAGGGGTGAGTGATGTAGATTCACATCTCAGAAGGTATATGACTTTCTCGATTGTTTCCATCCACAGAATATATTAGGTAAGTGTCTGGCAAAATCCTCCTAACAAGGTGGTGGTTAGCAATCAAGTCGTTTAAAAGAGAAAAAAGCAACTCCACAAACATCATCCTCATGCACAGAAAGCATTTCCTACTACCAATTTGTTATTCTGCTTAGGCTAGTCCATTACGTGATCATATATTTCACCTCCAACAAACCATCTCCACAACCGGATTTACAAACCATCGCCACATCTCCTCCTTCCTATATCTTCTCTTATCTTCTTTTCTCAGTGATCTTCCACAAGTTAGACAAACACTCTGTCCTCGAACTCGTCTGCTGGTCACCTGGTATGTGGCTTGACTGAGTGATCAGACTGGTCTGTACAAGCTGAGTAATCGAGTTAGACAGAAGTTGGTTTGGGATACACAGTCAGCAGTGTATATCTAGCATAGCCAACCCTGTTACCATGCGAAGAATGGAAAACAGATCGAATTCACCATAGAATAACCATCTCATGTTTCTCCTTCTTGTACCTCGTTGTTCACTTTTGTGCATACTATATACCAACTGCATAAGCGGTTAGCCATGAGTTTATGCCTTCCAACTGATAAATCCTCTTATCATCGTGTCAGTCATGAGGTCAATCTCGAGCTGCACATTTCATCGTGGTGTAAAGTTATTCATTCGAATCGACCTCACTTTTGGTCGGCTTCTTGTTGTCGATGGAGACTCTCAGGCTTGTCTGCATCATATTCAATCACTTGTCATCCATACCACCGTTCTCATCGCTTCTCTCTCCCTCTCTCTGTGTTTCACTCACACAAATACATGCACACAAAGAAAGTGTTGGAACATCATCGATGTGTTTTCAATAGGGTTATTGCAAATGACAAGCCGGAGAAAATGTCTGCTTTAATCCATTCGAATTATTCACCAATGCAAAGCAGCAGTGGACAGCAATGAATTGAGTGCACTTAATAGATACTTCTTTGTGTATGACGTAACAGTGGATTTAGGCCTGCAGTCATCTTGTGACAGACTCCTCTGTATGACTTATTTGTTTGTTTATGTATTATTATTATTATTATTATTGTTATTTGTCTACTCGATTGTTGGAATGCACTAATTAAGTGTGAAGTGGTTTTCTCACTTGAGTGTAATTATAATTGGTATTGTTTGACCACTGATTTCTATTCGTGTTTATTTGTTTGTTTGTTTGCTTTCCGGATAACCACTTCTTCGTGGATTTAGGTGGTAATCTGTCTAAATGCAATCAGCTTATTCTCAAAGGTGGTATGATTAATAGTCGTCTGTCTGGGTGTTCAAGGCTATAAATCACATACAGCAGAAAAGTGCCACTTGAAATTTACCTCCATCCTCCTAGTACGTCATTGCAGAGTGATTCGAGTGATAGCTGAAGATATGATGAAAGTGTGAATGAAATTCATCTATCCACTCACTAGTGAGTGCATACAGACACGTTGATGAAAATGCTGATTGGCTGAACACACATAATGTCACATGACATGCACATACACACACCAAATAGGAATATCGATTTAATGAACTTGAATTCTCTAGTGTTAAGACTAAACACAATATGATATATTCTGTGAGTAGATTAGATTAGATTAATGAATTATGTGCTAATGAGAAGAAAAGCGTTTCCACTTGATATTGGACAATGAATAATAAGTGGCTGCGGAAAGTACTCGAGTTCATTTGTTTGTTCATTTGAGACGATAATGCAGTTTGACAGGATATCATGTTGAGATGACGAAATGCTTGTGATGAATGATGAATAATTGTGTTTTCATTGTGTCTGTATAGGTGTGTTGTTGATTTGACTAGAGATTTGGCTTTTCACAGTGAACTGAAGTTTGTTTACCAATTGAAGAGTGTATTGACTGTTTATTGTTGAAAACAATCACTCTACGATCTCATCGACATATCCAACGCTGCAATTTATCGATGATGATGATGATGAAGATGATGAAATTTTATACCTGTTATATGATCCACTGATTGTGACACATTCATTTCATCATCCAGAGGAAGATACTATTCATCACTACCTCGAGTCATTTGATGAAATATCGAGTAGGCATCAACATAGTCAACATCACCTTCGATGCATTTTGAATAGTGATTCCACTTGAGGAATGCATTCAACAATGGGTGTTCATTAGAAACTGAAGAGAGTGTCTAAGAAGACGGAATGCTGTTTCTCATCTGGAATATGCAGTATTTCAGTCGATATAAAGGAGACATTACATGATGACTTATTCATTCACACTCAGGAGTAGTAATAACTGATGATTATTGTGAAACAACGGTTGTAGACATGAGGTAATGTACAGTGTCCAGGTGCTGATCGAATAAGTTTGACATGAATTCGCCAACCCAGAGAAAAGAATGCTGAGAATCTCATGGATACTGATTGGACCGATCATTCAGCTTATTTTGAACTGAGACATATTACTCTATGGATTCTGTACAAAAGATGGTCAATGCAGTCCAGATTTTAGAGAGAAATGGAACCTGAACTGGGACCTGGAACTATCCCATGAAGCGAAGGTAACTTAACTGAGGGAGCTGTACCAGCGGGATTTGTGCTCTATTTGAAATGGGACTATGCACTAGTATTGTCAATTGATGATAGTGAGAAGTCGGACTGTGAAACGTGTACATGAAGGAGATAAATTTCACTTGTAGTTTAGTCAATTAGCGAGCAGTCAAGTAATTCATGGAATTGACGGAGTCCACGGATTTCAGACATTCCAATGATAGTGAGTACATAACGCGGGCGCGCGCACACACACACACATCGTGGCGTAGTACTGCGAGCACAGTATTAGTCAATCTACTCTATATTAGAATCCTCGATCCCACTGTAGTGATGCACGCAGATATGACTCAGTGACGTCTTCACTCACATGACAAGAATAGATTAAATGATAACCACTGCAGGCAAGGTATCCCCATCAGATCATTACAGAAGTACTTGCAAGGTTTGTCATTTTTCAAACTTTGCTGGGGATCCACTGAAAGTCAAACATGATGTTCGTTTCGTGGACACTCAATATATGTGAGAAGCTTCAGAGAATTTGGTCAGTGAGTTGAGAACATGAGTTTTCAGGGTCGCTGTCAGCATTGTGAACATCGAGATGTTTGATTCCCCGTAAATGTGTCAGTTAGGAGACGAAAATGACGTTGACAAACAGACGTCTGACGTGCAGCCAACTGTTGTTGAAGAGACCTGGTGGAAAGACTGACAGCTTCTCGATTCTTTTGTTTGCGACGGCTTTTTAACTAAGTTGATTAGTTCCCCAGTTCTTTATTAGTAGATATCATTTGGTAGACAGAACTGGCTATTCATACAGGTAATGAAACAAGTAGCATTCAGTCATGGGGCATAAACTGTAATTAGACCAAACCGAACATTTGGGTTATTGTTTGATAAAAACCACTCCCACCAGTATGCATCCACATGGTTTTTGACTGTTGAATGTACGTACGTATATGTGTGTGTTTGCGTTTGTTTGTTTGTGTTTATGAGTTTGAGGACAGTGATTACAACAGGTGCGCCTTTTTTGGTCATCTGTTACTCATCTTCTCAAAAAAATTAAATGAATAAGTTTGACATTTTTCGGTATCACGCTGTGTTGACCTGTATCCACCAACATCTGCTTGTTGTATAATGCAAAAGATGTTGTTTATCGAAGGAGAGGATGTCGTATCATTTCTTATTCTGTTTGATCACCGTAAAGTTCATAAACCTTTGTCCGTATGTGATATGTTGTATACTCGAATCAGTATGGTACTGATTATCTGACCTTCGGATTAAGAGTATTCAAATTTCCTTGAAATATACACATACGTCACGTGAATGTGTATCTACATTGTGATTGGTTAGTTTGAAATGGTTGGTGAATTCATTGATTGGTTGATTGATTGACTGTCTGAATGACGATATTGACATTTCAGTTTAAATGATATTAAAGCGGAGATTTATCGAGTTTTCTGTGGTGCGATGTGTTATATTTGTTTGTTTAATTGATGTGATCACATTAACGGACAAATTTACATGGTTGGTTTAATTTTTAATATGATCATATTAAGCTATTGTATGGGAGAGGATCTAATTGAAAACAGTATTGTTTGTTTACAAGTCTTGTTCTAGTATGTTTGTATGTATAATTAATGGGTAAGTTTTGTTTTGATAATTGTGAATGCGAAATTAATGGGAAGATAATTATTGATATGAGAGAAAATGTTTTGAATGTTTAACTGACCAGTGCAGTACACAGCAGGAGTGATCGCTGAATTCAGACCTTTAGGGCAAAAGATGTTAGTGTCTTTTTCCAGCAGAAGTTAGATGCGTCTAGTTTTTATGGTTTTGCACACCACCAGTGTGTTTTATAATTACTTGATTGGTATGTCTGGTCTGGATTGAATAACGTGCATTCGTTCATGCATTCCGTAATTGATTGTAGCAGTTGACACAGGAGATTGGGATGCGTTATTGAGAAGGAGGAGAAGCCTCACCTAGGATTTATCAACTGCAGATTTCGTTGGTTCATGAAAGGTAATGATACATATTGGTTGGATATGAAAAGCAATATTGATTGGAGTGATTAGGACTATGGCGTGCTTTCCTATAGACTAGCAAATTATAACTAATTCGCTTACTTGTCTGTGAAACTGTAACCGCACGATAATGAAGAACTGTAACATTCTGTGTGACATAATCCAAGTGGTAGGATGAGTGGAGCTTAGAAACGGAATGCAGTTGTATTGAGTACTGAATTGGTTTCAAACATCTCATTAGTCCGTGGACGCTAGTCATTCTGTCAGGAATCCATACTCCACTCCACCAACGGACGGAGTGGTAGGCAGCCAGGTGGAATCCCTAGCCCTAACACAGTAGGTGTGACTCATTGCCTACTGCATTCACATGCAGTTGGGTGTTCACATCACTTATATGTCAACTGACAGAACTGAATGCACATGGATGCAAATATAGAGAACAGATATCCACATACTCCTCACGTGAATGAAGGTGCCACACCAAAACCGTCAGTGACGATTTCTTCTTGTTGATTACAGTTTGTTTATTATTGCATGCCAACACACATTTGCGAAGACATAATCATTATTTCGAAGTGTTCTCTGTTGAAAAGTGACTCCGGAAATTGAAAACAAGATTGAATACATACCGTTAGAGGTAGAAATTCAGATACAACTGTCTAGTCATTTAGATAGGAAGTTCGTTTATTCTCCCCTCTACTAACCTGTTAGTGATATTTTCTAATATTTGTTTGTAGGTTTTCTTGTAAAAAAAAAAGCGAAACAAAGAAAGAGTGAATTAATCAGATACACTTATATAATTACATAACATGGTCAGGTGAAATCTCTCCCTTTTCTTTACACGTTGTTGGGTGGAGCAGAATCGCTTTCATTCATGGAAGGTGATAGATAGAAGTGAGGACAGAGAGAGGTGGAATGATGATGGTGGGTGGAGGGGGGGGGGAGTTGGGGTGTAGTTTGTATTATTGGTTTGTTGCATTTCCGGTTTTCTGTTTCTGATCTATAAAACAAAAGCTTGTCTCGTCTCGACGATAACAGTAACAGCAACAACAAAAATGACACGAATACCATCGATAATGATAATACTACTACTACTAATAATAACATTGAGCGAATGCCTCAGCCGTAGAAGCAGGAGGAATAGGAAATGCAAGGGAGGGGAGGAGAGGGGAGTTGTGGAAGTATCTGTGCCTGGGTGTGTATGCGCGCTTGTATGATATCGACAATGATGTTGAAGAGAATAGACTGACAGGTGTTTTACACGAGATTTATCAACAATTGTTTTCCTGAGATGTTTGCATGAAACGGGTAGGTGCCTGTGTACACTAAGTCAACTTTACATTTCCTGTATATCGAGAAGGGTGAATAGTGTGCGTGTGTGTAC